TGGGTTCTGTCGAACTTCAATCTTGAAAATGGAAAGAAATGAATCGAGCTGGGTTCTGTCGAACTTCAATCTTGAAAATGAAAAGAACATACTGTCGAACTTCAATCTTAAAAATGGAAAAAACATCGAAAAATCTTGAAAATGGAAAAAACACAGGAAAGAATAGAAACTGGCCAAAGGAGCAATTGTTAATGGTGATGTGGGACCCATTGGATGAATTTGGTGCGTTTTTGCCAGGTAGCATATGACATGGCAAAAATTTTATGGCATGTCATCACTTTTTTTAGTTCTGCTCTCCACATCATCAAAAAAAATATAAAAAATGCCATCTAAGTAGGGTTAACGGCTCAAATTAACAGAAGGACTAACGGAGTGCATTTCGTATAGTTGAGGGATCAAAAAAGTGCAAAAAATTGTTGAGGGATCAAAAATGTTCATTTCTTAAAATTGAGAGACCAAATTAAACATTTAACCTATAATGTTTCCACGCCGTGAGTACGAAACTTTCCTCTGGGTCCTATAAAGTTATAGGATCTTAATGCTTTCAAATTCTTTTTTTTTTTTTTAACTAATACAATTCAAGGATGAAAATTGAGATTATTGAGGTTTAAATTTTAAATTTTTAAATATTATTACTTTTGTTTTAAAGGGGTTGTGACCTAATCTCTGCAGTGCTGGTTGGCTAATGCTTTCAATTGTTATTATTATCATTAATATTGTTAATATTACCAAATTTTAGTTTTTTTAATAGCATTGAAAAATATTAATTTTTTAATTAATTTTAATTTTTTATTATTAATTAATAATTATAATTATTACGAATTTTTATTAATTAAATTAAATTATTTTTAAAAATAATATTTTATATTTTTAGTAACCACATAATATTATTGTTAGTGACCATAAACATACCTATTTTTAATATTAAGAAAAAGTTTCTTATATAATAATTTTATTTTATAATTCAAAACAGTTTAAATTATAAAATATTTTTTTTACTTAAAATGTTTTTAATTATAAATTATATAATAAAAAAAAGTTTTTTTGGGATGCATATACGGTGAACTTACAAAAAAAATTGACAGTGGATTGGGCCTTATATCGCCGTTATCCACCGAACCCAACCCGCAGCTTAACCATAACAGACTGGTCCGAACCAGATTTGAAATCCGGTTCCAAATCCATTCTAGAGGTAAAAGCCCAAACCCTGAACACCTTCGTCTTCTTCAACTTCCAACTCCAAGACACATTTTTCCTGCAAAAACCCAGGAACCAGATACCTCCATTCTTTGATATCTGAATCCTGGATATCGAACCCTACCTCTTAAACCTCATTACT